CCGTGGCCATTGGGGGCCGCGATCGGCCGAACCTGCGTTAGCAGGTAAATAAACTGGCCCGGCCCGCTAGGGTGCTTACCCTGGTGACCACGTGCCGAACGTTGCCGACCCCTGCTCTAGACCATGACTTTCTTAATCTTTATCCATATAGGACTTTTAGCTATTCCTAATAATACAAATTGACATCTCAACAGGCCCAAAAAGTAGCCATAGGCTACACCATTGAGCTGTATCTAATATAAGATACTTTCTCCCCAGTGAGACTCACTGATTGCTATATTATAATTACATGTTTTCAAGTCTTTATTTATATAGCTTTCCATCTCCAATAGAATTTAGGTTGCTTCATAAGCTGTGCTATGGAATAGAAAAATCTAAGGCTGTATTGTCAGAGAAATCTTGATGTTGCAATAACTTCACAGTGGTATATGGGTTCTGGTTTCAGAACTTAACTGTAGTCAGTCTAAATTGTAAGTTGCTGTTTGTCTAGCTATACCAAAAGAAGGACAGGAGACACCTGATATGGATTTAATCAGACCGCGACTTTATTATTAGATATATGGGACTACCCAGCAGAGAAAAGTGTACAGTGCAGGTAAAACCTGTTTGTTTTTTAATTACCCGTGCAGGGGGCTTCCACCAGCTCCCCACCTTTTTCCATTCACTTCCCTCATCATACCCAGGGGGCTTTTACCAGCTCCTCCTTTTTTTTCCATCAAGGTCCCTCCAGCAAATCCATTGCCAGAACCTTACCATTATCTCCCCTCCCCCCATCGTAGAAGGAGTAAGGTGAGCTATAAGAAGGGGGTTGGCTCCGTGCCTTTCCAACCATAGGAGCCCCAAACCCCACACCGTTCCGTTCCTTCAACCAGCACCTCCTTTTTAAGTCCTTTACCAGGCCATTTATCTGGTCACTGGATGCCTTCCCAATGGAGTACCTGCACTGGACATCCGCCACAAGGAGGCACCAGCAATTAGCATTGCTGCCTCCCCACCACATCTATTCGGGGTCCCAGACATCTTCCAATGGCCTTTTATATGGCATCCCAAAAAACATGTTACCCCCAAGTTTAATAGGTGAACTTCCCTTCCTCCAGGAGAACTCGGTTGCCCTTTGCACTACACAAGGATCATCAAGGACTCCCGCAGCTGGGTTGCCAATGCCATGTACTGCAACACCCCTCCCTTCCTGATGGGCCATATAGGTGACCAGTCTCCCAGATCCTCATATGCCATAGCTCCATAGCACCAGTGTCATCTACTTGAGCTAGTCGCTAACTCCTGGTGCAGGCCCCCGCACACTGTTGAACTGCGAACAAGACAGGGCATCCGCTATGCCATCATCCAACTGCAGGCACATGCTTGGAAGGAAAAGAGATGTTAAGGCTCAAACACTGACACAAATTCGCTCACTAACTTCATAACCTTGTGTGAGGTGGAAGTTTGACCTGCCATGCGGTCATACCAGAAACACATACTTTTATTGGGAGGGAGCTGAAATATGCCCCCCTTTGTGTTCCACTCGATACCCAGGTATGCTAATGTAGTGGAAGGGGCCCTCTATCTCGTCTTCTGCCTGGGGTACCCCCAAATGTTTTGGCAGGCCACCTGATTCATTGTAGTGTGAACAGAGCCACCTTGTGGGTATGAAAGGTGATGTATTACTCGATATTCCCTTGCAGTGCTGTTGGGGACTGAACCCGGGGGCGGGGAACCCTTAAGTTCCCTATCAGCAATTGATTATTATTTTTTTAACCTTACATGGGTAATATTCCCTGAAAAGGGGATCCAAAATCCCAAAGTTAACCCCGCCCCCCAAATATGCCATATGTGCTTTATTAGGGTAATATAGGAAACCCTGAACACCTTAAGCCTAACTGGCAATGGTGCCTGTGCCCATTGGACCGCCCCCAGTTTGCCCCCCTACCGTGCCTGTGTTCTGCACCTCATGACCTGCTTCAGCTGAGCCAAACCTGCAGCTGGCATGCCACCCACCCCAATCCTGTTTTCCCCTTTGCGATCGTTCCCTACCGCTCTGGCAAGAACGGGCCGAACGGGTCCCAAAGCATATCTTGCACACATGCTTGAATCTACAGGGGCTGCGAAAACAACCATTGTTATTAAATGCCCAACAAATATTATGTGACTCGTGCCCCTCCTGAACTTGCAGGGGAAGGAACAGGCCACTGGCTGTGTGAACTCCTGGTCCCCGCAGTCATCCACTCGAACCACAGTGTGTGATGCAGTATGTCCCACCAGATCCCACGTTGTGTTGCCCTTAATTGAAACTGCTCATCATAATGAAACCAAGACATGCCCCCAAACGTAGTATGGGCCCACCTGATTATATCCATATACTTAAACAAGGCTGAGCTTCTCTCCGGATAAGCCTGTACTATCACACCTGCATAGATAAGGAAGGCCACCTTCCCATTTTCCCATGTTTTAGGCACCCCTGGCCACTTGGGCAACTCCTTATTCTGTTTGCTCTGTCCCAGCTTACACTCTGTCAACACCTTGCTATGCAAAAGGGATAATATGTCCACATATTCCCCTCTCAGGATTTTATCCTTAGTTTTCCTGAGCAGGTGAACTCCCATTGGGTCAGAAACCCCAGCATAACCGTATTCAGGATAGACTGACGGAGCAACCTCGGTGCCCTGTTCCCCACAGTCCCCCCCAGGAAGCTCAACTCTATCCCAGGAGCTTATACGTCTTAACAAATATGAGTTGACATGTGCCATGGGGTTTCAACCACACCGCTGCCTCCCACCTGTGCGGGGGGTCTGCCCCACCTGCCTGTCTCCCGACTCCCAAACTTGTGCCCATGCTGGGCTTCCCCTGGAAACCAGGCCAGACCCATCACCCACAGATGCCTAAAGTTGTTGCAACAACTGTAGATTAGTTTGCAGCAGCTGTGCAACACCATTAGTGTCCCCAGCAGGGGCGCACCATCCAGATGGGTCTGATATGGATTCCAGTACTCCCATTCCTGGCCCTGGCCTATTTGTTACTCTGCAAGGCTCACTCCTGTCCCCTTGTGGGACTGTTCTTAATGTTTCCTCTGAATACTGTAGGGGTGCCTCAGTTTCCCCTATGCATTTCTTAAGTCTCTAGGTGGTGGAATAAGGTGGTGTAATTGTTGCAGAGCAAAGAGGCAGTGTACATAAATGGCTGACACTCTGTCTCCTGGCAACTAATGGCCTGGGCCCTTCCCCCCTGCAAGGTGATAGCTAAAGGTGTTGGAGAACAAAGAAATCAGGTGACCTCCTGGCCTAGGAAAGGGACAAAGCCCAGAGGAGGAGAGGCTGGAGAGGGAGTCAGTTTGGGGCTGGCTGGGGACGTGGAGTGAAGTGCAGACGGGGGTGTCTGGCTCACTGCCCCCCACAATGGACCCAGCTGAGTGGTCCTGTTCTCTGTACCTACAAGCTCTGTATTAGACCGTGTTCCTGTCATCTAATAAACCTCTGTTTTACTGGCTGGCTAAGAGTCACGTCTAACTGCGAAGTTGGGGTGCAGGACCCTCTGGCTTCCCCAGGGCCCCGCCTGTGCAGACTCGCTGTGGGAAGCACACGGAGGGGCAGAGGATGCTGAATGCTCCAAAGGTCAGACCCAGGAAGATGGAAGCTGTGTGAGCTTCTTGCCCTGAAGACAGTCTTCTCACAGAGAGGAGACTTCACCAGAGTCCTGACTGGCTTCGTAGGGAGCAGTTCCAGAGCATCGCCTGGGGACTCCATGACACCCCCTCAAGTACCCTCTGAGATGGACAATTTGAGCCCGGATCCTGCACCTCCCTGAGGCCTGTGCAACCACCACACATTGTCACATTGCAAGGCAGGATATCACCTGTGCCACCTGTCCTCCCAAAATCTGTCTGTTGCAAAGCACACTCACCCCTGGAATCAGCCTCAACCCTGTCTCCTGGGTTCAGTGTAGAAGAACATCGTGATTCTGCAGCCCAGTACACTCTGGAAGCCCCGCAGTGCCTCCCGGCAAGCACCTCCGAGCTGGAATGAGCCTGTCCCTCTCTGGGGAAGTGGTGAGCTTCCCAACCTTCTCTGTGCTCTCACCCTCCTGCGACCATGTGGAGCCATGCTGCCCAGCGTGCCTGCATCCTCTGCTGCCTGCTGCTGCCTTGCCTGCTGGGTGGAGAAAGGGGTTTCCAACACCAAAGCTTGCACCTTTAAAGCCTTCCACCCTGACATTCCAAGGGGGTGAGTCAGTGCTGCAAAGCTGACCAACACCACCTTTTTGCAGCAGTTTCTGATCTTGTTCTCCCCCACTCCATAAAGCACTACTGTCTTCGTCTGGCAAGCCCGGACAACGGCCCCCCTCCTTTCAGTGCAGGGCGGTCATTCTCAAAGAGACCACAATTATATTGACTTAGTTTAAAAGAAAGTAATGAATGTTCCCTACAAACATTTGATGGTGTTCAGCTATTAACACGTTCATTAAAATCA